TTGGGGCGCTGTGTGTGTCAGTGGGAAGCTTAGTCATACTGTGTTCTTCTGTGACACTGCTGCCTATTTTGTCTTGTTTCAGACAAAAACTATCACATTCTAAGGGCTGAGGTTTGAGGAAAGTGAGAGATGGAAAAAAGTGATGTTAAAATGAAATGTGTTAAATTTATAAAATATTCTACCTTTAATTAGGGCATGTACATGTTCAACATGACCTCATAACCAGAAGCAGTGGAAGACGTACTAAGATTGTTTACTTCAGTAAAAATACTAATACCACTGTGTACAAATACTCTGTTACAAGTACAAGCCCTGCATTTAAATTAAGTAAAAGTACAAAAGTATTAGCATAAAATATATTTAAAGTACTAAAAGTAAAAGTACTTGTTTTGCAGAATGGCACATTTAACATTAATTATGATGTACACAAAAACACACAAGTAATTATAGGCCAATAATATGACATACATTAATGGTAAATGTGCCATTCTGCTTAAGTAGTACTTTTACTTTTAGTAATTTAAGTATATTTTATGCTAATACTTTTGTACTTAAGAAACTATTTGGATGCAGAACTTTTACTTGTAACAGAGTAAATGTAGAATTGATATTAAATACCTTATATGCTTATACTTTCAAATAGTTTACATACTGCTGGGTAGCTTGTGAATTTCCCACCAGGCATCAATAAAGTCTTACGATTAGTATATTTAGTTTAATTAATCTCAGTCTGAAAAGTAACTAATGTTATTAAATAAATGTAGTGAGTAAAAAGTGCAACTTTTTCTGTAAAATGCAGTGAAATCAAAGTATGAAGTAGCAGCAAATGAAAGTACAGATACCTCAAAATTCTACTAAAGTACAGTACTTGAGTAAATGTACTTAGTTACTTTTCACCTCTGACCAGGAGTATCTTTTTACCTATCACATTATTTGGTATCCTGAAATATAGAACTATGTTGTCTATTATCAGGATTTCCTAGGGAACAGTATTGTGGATCAACTAAAAACATGTAATTCAGAAATTCAAATAAAATAATCAAGTGTAGGATGAAGGTGTGTGTGAGTTCTGGACAAATCATTTCTGGCTTGTTTATGTTGTTGAGATAATGTTGATACTATATACTGTATGTGCCTCAGTTCATCTGCTATATACATGCTTGTGTGTGTGTGTGTGTGTATGTGCATGTGCATTAGTACTGAATACAAACGGATGCATGTTTATGAATACACACTAATACTTTTAACACTTAATTTTCTGCACTGTTGTACAAAATATTTTTAATTCGGTAGGTGTAAAACGGTCATTGCTCTAATCTGTTTTTGAATGTTTATCATCATTTTGTTGCTGTTTATTTATTTTTTTTACTTTAATTTCTTGTAACTCAAAGATGACTTCAAATATCTATATGCAATAAATGATGCAACTGATTGTTCGGGCTCAACAGAACATTTTGCCCTCTCACTGAAGTGAAGCTGGTCCTTCTGGTTTCGCTTGGACTTAATGTGTCCTAAAGGTTCTCACCTGGGTGCATAAACACTCCACCTGACAGCCCAGGGCTATGCATGGCTTATTTCTCCTCTGTTCATTTTATAGTGTGCATGTACCGCTTTATGGCATCCATCTATCTGGTAAACCTTGAAAAGGCTGTTGAAGCTCCCGATAAATCTGAGTGTGACACAGTGACAGGCCCCGATCTGCCTGTCCATGTCACCTGAAATCTCTCTCAGCGATTATAACTTTGCTCTCTCATGCATCATGACATATTCCTCACTGAAGCAGAAGGGTGTGTTTGTCTGTGTGTTTATATGTGTGCCATCAGATAAAGCAGCTCAGCTCTGAAGTCACCTGTCAAGGTGCAGCTGACAGAGAAATATACTAAAATATTGCAGCATGATACAGCTTATTTTAGATTTCTGTGTCACTATGAGTAGCTGTGATCTGAGTGAGTGAGTGTGCTCTGCAACTGAGCCTGGCATATAGACATGTTTGTGTGTGTAAAGGACTATGTGAGTGTAATTAATGATGTGTTCCCCTCTTCATAGGGTAATAGGATTTCCCCACCCCAGGCGGTAAAGAGAGTGGGAGGGGGAGAAAACAGCTCTGCGTATATGTATGTGTGTGTGTGTGAGAGAGAGAGAGAGAGAGTGTGTGTGTGTGTGTGTGTGTGCAGAGTGAATGGGAGCACTGTGTAGTGATGCCAGTAGAGGGCCTGTACAGCCGCAAGAAAAGGTAATAGCACTGTTTGCAATTTCCTGGTTTTCTGTATAAATTGGTCATGAAATGTGGTTTGATCTTGACCAAAGTTACAAATATCAACAAACAATATTTCTAAGGTGATAAAACACAAACAGTCATGATCTTTCATGTCTTTACTAAACACACCCATTAAAAATACAAAGTGATGGTGGAAAAAGTCATGACAACACCAGGCTTCCAATAGAGAACACTGTAGAATGACGTCAAGACGTTCACACCAGACATCCTAAGAATATGGCTGAGCTGAAGCAGCTTTGTGAGGAAAAGAGGCCAAAAATTTCTCTTGAGCATTGTGCAGGTCTGACCCACAGCTACAGGAAGTGCTTGCCTGACGTCATTGCTGCCAAATGTGGTTCAATCAGTTATTAAAACAGTTACCATTACTTTTTCCACCATTACTGTGTATGTTTAATGGATGTGTTTAAAAAAGACATGACAGATCATGACTGTTTGTGTTTTATCAGCTTAGAAATGTTGTGTTTGTTGATATTTGTAACTTTGCAGAAGCTCAGAACACACTTCATGACCAATTTATGTAGAAAACTAGTAAATTGCAAACAATGCCGTTACTTTTTCTTGCAACTGTGTGTGTGTGTGTGTGTGTGTGTGTGTGTGTGTGTGTGTGTGTGTGACAGGGGGAGGGGGAACAAGCGAGTGATTTATAACAGCTACTCCAGGTCGCTCCTCTCTCCCACAGCAGCACCGCAAACACATCCATTACAAAAGTACTGATGTTAATGGGGTTGTTGTGTGAGTGTGTGTGTCTGTGTGTACATGATACAGAGGCTGCGCAAGTGTGAGTGTGCACCGCTGTGTGAGTGTGAGAGTGATAACCAGATGCTGGGTGAAAGGAAGGTGAAGGTTAGTGAGGGTGTCTCCTGGAGGTTTACTGGTGCCCAAGTCCAAGTTTGCATGCGTGTGTGTGAATGTATTTGTGAGTTTACATATGTGTGTAAGTGTAGATGCATGCAGGTATATGTATGATTTGTTTAGGACCCTTTCAGAGTTGACTAATTCCAGTAGGTTGCCTTGCTTCTCTCTTGGTGCTCACGTCTTTCTGTGTTTGTGTGGACAAATATCATCATTGTGAGGGCTTTTTGATACAGTGAGGACATTCTGGGCTGGGCTGGGACATTCTGCACAGTCTACGTGACTCCTACAGATATTTTAGGGTTAAGATTAATTAGTTTAAGGATAAATTTTAGAATCAGAAATAGGTTTGAGGTAGGGTATGGGCTGCTGGTAAGCATTTAGTTCCGATGGCTAAGTTAGGGTAAAGGGCTAGGGAGTGCATTATTTCACCAGGTGTCCTCACAACTATAGAAAGACAAATTTGTGTGTGTGTGTGTGGGCGGGTGGGTGTGTGTCTTGCTCCGCTGGAGAAACTCAGCCGAGGAGATGGAGTGATAAAAATCGGAATTGAAGAAAATACTCTAGAGAGTAAACAGAGGGAGCAAAGAAGAAATAAATAGAGGATGTAGAGCTTCTTGGTAATGGACTGGTGGATGCCTAGGACCACATCCACCTCTGTGTGTGCGACAGAGAATATATAGGCTATACACACACGCACACATAGTGTCTGCCTGTCTACTCTCACATTACCCTTTACATTAAAACCAGTCAGGGGGAAAATTACTGCAGACCTGGGCCACCGTCTGCCCACCTGGCCCCACAGCGAGAGGAGGGAGGAGGGGCTGTGGAGCCAGAGGAGGGGATAAAGAGGACCGTAAGGGGATGAGGAGTTGTGGGGGTCAGAGGGACCTCGGTGAGGGACAGGGCTGCCCAAAGGCAGTGGTCTCAGCTTCATGCAAGGAGGAAATTTCTGGTCCTAGGAGCCTCTGAGAAGGCCCTGACTCTGTTACCAGGGTCAGTTTTCTTCATCTCGGTGCTAATGCAACATTTTAGATGATGACAATACCACAGTATTCAACTCCAAGTACTGCATTCAATATTTTTCTTAAAGCTGCTTTCATCTGTTTTCATATTAACAATGAATCCATTTATTATATCTAATGGAAAAGGTGATGCTCATAGTGACAAATGCAGAGAATCATTGCCCGACTGCACACATTGTTTAGCTCTTTGTTCTGGTTCCTGGCCTGCAGCTTTGCTGTTCTGGTTCATTCTCATCACCTTCATCACTGATGTTTTCAGCCACAGATACATTTTGTTTATTATAAAGAAAACATTGTACACTAGCCGTTTAGTGGCAAATCAGCAGAACAGTTTTCATAGGAATTAGTGGAAAGAGAATTAGTGGAGAGTTGCTGGAGTCCCATTCACCACATGACCAGAAAAACAACTTCACGGATGCTGTGGTTTCTGAAAACATGCTAGTTGTTGTGCCAACTTTATAAACTAAGAATATGATAACATTGTGCTTTCAGCTTGTGATTGTGCCCCCATAATAAAGGATTTATAAATATGAAAAAAATGTATGAATGAATAAACCTGTTACTGTAGTTACGCTACTCATAAGATGTACTAATCAGAATGTGGCGCCAAGCATTTTATTATTGTAGTTGGTTGGGGTAGTGCCAATTGAAAAGATCAATCTGCAAAGTAAGTTGCAACTGTAGGTAAATGTTGAGTGCAATATTCTCCTCTAAAATGTAGTGAAGTGTAACTACAAAGTAGCATAAAATGAAAAAACTGAAGCCCAACTCTTAAAACTGTACCTTAGAAGACTGCTCCTTCACAGGATGGACAGAGTCATGACATTTGAAATGAAAGACAGTTCAAGTTGTAAGAGAAGGTTTTATTACCAGTGCTATTTACATAGAAATAATACAGCCTTGCCTCTTCCCCCCCTTAAACGTGCACAATCGCACACACGCGCACCAAGCATTCAGACACTCACACATCAACACACTCACACACATTTGTATCCAAGAATATCTCAGTACATCAGAAATAAAACACATTCTTTCTAGATCTTATACAATGTCCAAAGGAAACACAAAGTGTCTTAAAACAATTTTCAAACAGCGCTAACTCACTGTTACAAGTGTCAGATGTGTTTGTGTAAGACATGTTGTGTATGATGAGACAGTAGTAGTAGTAGTAGTGTAGTTAAAGTCTAAACTTATGGGAGGATTTGTGCTGACTACTATAAAACCTCCCACAAGTCCAGAGTCCCCTCTTTTCTCAGGACTATTAATAGAATTTGTCCACTGCTGTACAAAGGTGTTACAGAGGCCTGGACTGCGCTGCTGCCTTGAGCCGATTTTGGTTTGTGTGTCTTAAAACCGTGGCCACTAGATGGCGCTGAGTGCTTCTGAGCAGACAGAGGTAATGTCACAGATGTTGTCTCCCCCCTCTTTTGTTTTGTCTCTTTAGAGGAAGGAGACCTCAGCTGTTGAAGGAGATTCTCCATTATGGGCTCAATGTTCTTTTGAAAATCATTTCCATTAAAACATGTTTTTAAAAGGGACAGTAACAAAAGGAAGGTCAGGTGAAGCAGCGTGCGAAGCAGAACTATCAGGGCTGCTTGGATGGGTGTGAGATTTGTGTATGTGTGGGTACAAGTGTCTATATAATTGTGTCCATGTTTTGAATAATGGTATAGACATCCTTCTTTTAAGCTATGATCAAGAATGCTTTCACGCATTAAAGGGCTTTACAGCTGAGATGTGTGCTGAGAAAGTCAATGCCAGAGGTGTTGTATATACGCGTGTGTGTGGATGTCGCTTCCATCCAGCCTTTGATTTGACATGTCGAGTGAATGAATGTTAAAAATGAGCAATGATTCTGACTTAACATATCCTGTCTTGATTGCCACATATGTGTTGAACATTAAAGCATATTAACGCCTGGTCCTTTGTAGAGCAGCAATAAAGACAGGAAGAGAGCAAAAGGATGAGCAAACTAATATCGCTTTGAAGCAACATTTTTAAAAAGTGTGGTGAGAAATAAGAAACTAAAGATGTCCCCTTTGGCATTTCTCTCTAATGTGTTTCTAGAGCAGTAGGAGATACTTTCGATAAAATCAAGGGGAAGGCGAGAAGCTTTTTTTCTAATTCAAGTCCAGTAATCCATGGAGTTGGAGCGCTAACTGGGCGGCAGTTTGCAAACTACCCTAGTCTTGATTCCATGTCCATCAGCTGGGAAAACCACTCTAAAAAGTCCACCAGAGAAATTTCAGCTGTACGTTTCTCTCCACAGTGTTTGTTTTCAGTTTCATCTCCTGAATTAATGAGACTGATATTCAGTCCAGGAATGGTCCAATTGGCTTGTCCTTTACCAGGCTGTGGTTTCTCCCATCTCCTGGCCTTGGTGGGACATAGGAGCACTGTAGCTGGAGTTACTGGCCAAGGAGAAGGGGGGACTGGGTCCACCCCCGTAGGCCTCCCCTGGGACAGGATGCATGGAGTTCGGTAAGCCCGGCTCCGGACTGGGGGTTTCTGCGTGGGAGATCATGTCTGCGAATCTGTGGTCGTCTGAAGGGTGGTGGCCTGATCCCTCCATGGCTCCGGGTCCAGAGCCCAGGATGTAAGGGGACTCGGCCGGAGACTGAGCCTGAGAGGACGGAGGCCCGTGAGGGAAGAAGTCGTAGTTACTCCCTGGTCCGTAATAGTCACCCTGATATTCTGTGGAGAGACAAAGGAACACGTGGGCTTAGACTTGCTATCACAGCACGGCAGAGCAGTGTGTGGCTTTACACACATCTTCAGCCTTACCTAAGTGGTGAAATTGATCATGTCCAATTTCCAGCAGCCTCATTTGAGTGTATAAACAACTCCACACCTCTCCACCTCAGTTCTCTCGCCTTTTACACACTGCATTCATCTCCCCCACTCATTCAGCTCACAGCCATGCGTGCACCTCGATGGATTCCCCTGCTGAAACTTCTGGATTTGGATGAGGAACTCCAAAATGAGATTCCAACCTCCCTACAGCCCTGCCAGGCTGATCTCGCTGCCTGGATCTCTCCATCATGTCTGATGCAGCTTCCAGCAACACCCCTCGCCCCGTCCTCACTGGGCTGTGGCTACTTCCTGGCTATAAAAACTGCTTCTCAGTATACCCAGTGACCATCATTGATTAATCCGATGATTATTTTTCTTGTGAGTCAACTGGTCTATATAAAGTCAGAAAATTCTAATAAAGTTGGCATCTTTCTTTTGCTTATTTTGTCCAAGAAAGAGCCCAAAGAGATTTACAGCACACAGCAGAGAAATGTGGAAAATTATCGTATTTGAGAAGGTGAAGCTCGTCATTTTTGCTTGAATAAAAAGCCTTTTATTTATATTCCTCCAGTAAACTAAACTTTTAAGTGTTTTGTCCTTTCAGTCCCAATCATTTTCCCCTTTTAATCACATCTCTTTCTACAATTTCTTTGCTCACACTGTTTACAGGGTCACAAAAACTCCACTTCTGCAATTCACAGTTTCAGCTTGGGGTTGTGTCGCTGCTGTGTTTTCTCCACAGTTACAGTGTTGGCTCATCGGCTCCACAGAAGTCCAATCAGTCGTGGCGGCTTGTGGTTTACACCGTTCTATTTCCATCTTTACACTGACATCGACTGTGCAGCATCACAATAGAAAATACTTTACATTGTATTTGCTTATATAATATGTCAACAGACAATTAATAGGATCTTTGTTAAGGCCCACAAATAGGCAAACACATATTCACCAAGCAAAAGCAATGGCATCTTTCATCTGTATTTTATTCCAAACCTTTATGCCACATTTCATTCAAACCACAAACAAAGGAGAAGTCAGCAGGATTGGACCTCTGGTGACCACGACTACATCTCTACTAAATCTAATCTGCTGGAGTTACTTCAGCCAGGACCAAAGTGGTGGCCAGGCCATATAATAATGTCAGGCTTAAAATTCTTCTCCTCAGGAATATTTGAGCAAACGGTCTATCATGACCATATGTGTCTTGTTGGCTTTCTCATGACATCCACCCCGAAGAGCTGCCGCAAAAACTGACACAATGAGAACAGTCACAGACGTCTTGCTTTCACAGAAAATCTCCTGCACACACTTGGATTTCCTAATATTCTCTACCTGACGTCTGGTGATGAAAACACCTTTACACCTCTGAGAGGGTCGGACACAGGCTGACATCTCCATGTACCGTATATCGTCATTTATATCTCCGACATGGTGACACCGTCAGACATTATTTATGAACGTACAGCTCCAGACTGTGCATCTTCAGTGTTGCTCAGTCTCCATGAAAAAAAAAATCCAGTTACATAGATGAGTAAATGTTAAAATGACGACGCATTTGTATTTCTGCCTCCTCTGCATTAACAATGGAGGTGAATGAAACTTTGCTTCTCTTGCTCACATCATTGGAGGATTATTAATAGATGTGAACAGTTTTCATCAGTGGATTCAGAGGAAACTGTGTGGACGCTGTGTGGATCCACAGTAACAGGGAAGCTCTTTCTTCACATCGCAGTGCTGCTGAATGTTTAAAATGTAACTTTTCAACACAATGAAATTTCATTAGCCTCTGTTTCACTAGGGAGGAGGCTGAAATGTCAGAGACAAATCTCTCACATCCTGAGCAAATACAGCCAAACATATCTGTAGATACCACTACACATAGGAGACTTTCTTCTCTTTTGGGTGAATCAAACCTTTACAGTTTCCAAGCTGTGTAAACATAATCCAGTCCAGAGCGCCAAGCCACTCTGTAATTTGGACACAGCCAACCAAATCTGGCATTTTGGAGTGTCACACAGTTGTTCACTGGAGCCTGGAAGAGGAGGCTGCTCCCCTTAAAGGAACAGTTCTGTGACATATGCTCATTTGGGATGAGAACATCAACACCACTCTGATATTTAAGGGTACAGCCACCACCTGGTTAGCTTAGCTTAGCACGGAGACTAGAAACAGGTGGGAACTGCTAGCCTGGCCCTGTCCAGCAGCAGCAACCAGCACCTCTAAAGCTCAATAATCAACACGTTATAGCTCATTTGTTTAATCTCTGTGGAAACTCTAGGGGAAAAAAAAAAGAAATAGTCCAGCACAGAATCAACTACAATTTGGTGTACACTATATAAAGATTAAATAAACAGGCTTTAAAGGTGATGGTATGTGAAGTACCAGGCTTCCAGTCTTTATGCTAAGCTAAGTGAACAAGCTGCTAGCTGTGACCCTAACTTCAGCTGGCAGACCTGTGGTATATGTAAAGTTTAGGAGGGCTGACATTTGCATATTCATTTTCTGTGCCATTCACTAAACCTATTTTGCCAAGATGTTTCTAAGATTTTTAATGTAGCCAATTATTTCCCTGTTTGCATCCCTGAACATTTACAATCCACCACCTGCCTTCCACTTCTCACCACTTCCTTATTCTCAGTCCAAAGCTACATCCTCTCTGCTCAAATTCCCTCAGTTACACTAAATTTATTCTGTTTCAACAGTACGATGAACTGAGATCGATGGCAGACTTCATCTCAGTGCCCCAGATGTTGCACTAGCATTTCCCCACCCCCACCAGATGCTCTACACACTCCTATTTCAGTCTGAGCAGGCAGAATCGAGAACTAACAGGTTAGATATATAGCAGTATGTTGCCTAATTATAACTCTTGCATTTATTACCTAATGGACATGACTTCTGGGAATTATTAAGAGAAACAAGACCTGACATGACTTTCACAAACAAGCAAATTATTCGATTCCACAAACAGGCTCCTGCTAGTTTGGCCGACCTTGAGAATAAGCAACAAGCTTGTGATGTGCACTGTGTGTGCGAGTGTGAGGTGGGTTGTGCAGGTTAAGAGAGGGCAGCGTTGGCTCTGCAAACTATAATTACACTCACACATGCAGACGCGCCATACCACACACAGGCATTCCTCCCTCTAAGCAGCAGCAGAGGAACATAAGGAAGCAGTGGGTTCAGATAAAGGCGAGCAGACTGGCCTGTGCTGCGGCGGCACAAAGGGGTGTGAAAAGCAGCGTGTGAAGAAAGCGAGAGAGATGAGAGCGAGCGATGGAGGTTTTGTCCTCTGATTTCCCCTCCCACTCCGTGTTGCAGCCTTGACGGCTCCAGTTTATTGTATCCTCAATGCCAGGGCCCCTTCAGGTAGATGTGCAGGAGCCGCTGAGAAACCACAGCTCTCGGACTGTCCATCACAAACACACTGCTGATATACATGACACTGTATCTGGTTCATTCCATGTGGTTAGAGCTGTGTTGCCGCTCACCTGCTATAATGATTTTTATTGATGCAGGCGACCAATAGAGGCTGAAATACCCTACAGCTTTTTTCCCAAGTGGTTTTTATAAGCTTTTTTTTGGAAAAAAATATTGATTTACACCAAATGGAGATCAAATTGAAATCTAGCGCATGTGATTACAAGAGAAAAAAAACATTTTAGCTAAAATAACTATCAAAAATTAATTTGCACACCAACATTCATTTGGACAACAACAAACTGAGTGTAAGGGCATCTCCTCCCCATTTCATAGCTACAAATATTTGCCAAATCAAATATGAAATGTTTTGTGAAATTAACATTCCAACAGTTTTTAAAGGCATGATTTCTGTATGCAAGGTCAAGGCTGCAAATGATCTTTTCATTTTTTAAATTTCCTGGTCAGTGAATGAACGAGCGCGACACCACGGACACCTCTGCGTACTAAGGACTAGCTTTAGAGATGATACAGCTATTAATAGCTCATACATTGTTCTGCCATGTTGACCATGATGGTTAGACTATAAATAAAAAGCATAGTTTGATATGAAGCTGTCTGTTAATACACGTTTTCAAACCGCACACAGCTGCTATTGGTTATTGCAAAGCTTTTTTTCTTCAAAACTCAAATGAATCAAAACTTCTACTATAATGTGTTTCTTGAAAAAACATCTTTTATTCAAGGAGAAAATTAACAATTTTCCAGAAAGAGGATGAAGCTCAAGAAGTGAGCACACAGTTTTTATCAAATGCAGCAATCTGAAAAAGGTCAGAAGGCACGACTTCATCTTAATTAAAGAAGGGTGGTGCCTTTCTGTAGGGGAATAGGAGGAGGAGTCAAACCTCACACACACTGGTGTTGTCTTTTATTTTGCTAGAGTTTACACCCGCTAGTTTTTAATTTATCCATCCAGAGTGTAGATAAATCACTGTGAATGGAGCTAAAATCCATGACTGCAGTGTACAGTACCACCCACCCTGCAAAACGTCCACATCCTCCAGTGTCTGACTGGAATGCGTGCATCTAGCGTTTGACTGCTCAGCAGTTTAACTTTGACTAAATTCATATTACTTGGCCCTCCGTGTATTATCACAAGTTTAATTTCTTACCTCCATAGTAACCATAGGCCGCAGGTCCTAAAATGTCTGGATCCTCCAGCCTCCCTCCCAGGGGCCTCATCCTTCTCGGGCCCCTGAAGAAGGCGTGCCGGCGGGCCCCCAGAGCACTCAGCTGCTTCATCCGTCTCTCTTTGGATCTTCTGTTCTGGAACCAGACCTGCAACAAACCGGACAGAGCGAGTGACAGTTATCAGCTGATCTCATCGTGTTGAAGAGGATGAGTCTGACCTGCGGACGTCACAGATCAGCCTCCATTTGTCCGCGTTCCAGCAGTTGCTGTTGTCAATCCGACTTCCACTACGTCAGAGCACAGACTGCGTCACGGACATGACAAGATTCAGTCGGTCCTACCTAGCATGAAAACTGCATGATGCAAACTGACACATATCAACTTCATTTGAATTCTGATCATTTCAGAAAACACTGATATTTAATTTCATGCTCACTGTTGCAGAGTTTGTGTCAAAACCATAATTCAAATTGGACTTTGAGGAACTGCTCTTTCTTTTTCTTTTCTGAGAGGTTTAAGTCTGGAAGAAGCCTTAAAATTGTTCCTATTCAGATGCTAACTAACCGCTGATCCCATGACTGGGACTGTTTGCGTCTGGCCTGTTATGATCCAAATCCTCTGACACCTTTTATTTTGAATTGTATTTACTCTCTAACAATTAGCTCTGGATTCTCATCATTTACATAAGTTTTGGTGTAAATGTTTGGACCTTGGTGTTAAATAGCTAAAAATCAACCAATCCAAAACCATTAAAATGCATTACACTTCACAGGAAAAGTCTAAACTAACCAAATATAAAAAGGAGAAATTTCCAGTGTAATATCAAAACTGCATAGGTGAGATCAATTCAGTACTGACACACAGTGAACGGTAACACCAGGGGCATTTTGCACCTTAATTCACTTGAGTGGAAAAGGGCCTTTTGTGTGTGTAATAGGAACGTTAGCACAAATCATCAAAGACCATGTCAGAAGTGAGGGGAAGCATAAAGATGCATCGTTTCTATGACAAAAGGTAAGAAGACACCTAAGAGCCAAAACCAACCACACTTTGTGCTACACTGCAAAATTAAGATGAATAAGAAAGTAATACAAATGTTCCTCAATACACAACCTAATGCATCTTAGTACAAGTTAAAATAAACATCCAAAGCCATAAATCAGAGCATAAAAACCCTATCACTAATGTTAGGCTAAAATAAACCGTCTCTGAAGAAGAACAAAGGGGATCTCAAAACTGTAGAGCTACCCACCATATGGAAGGACATATTTGCATTATAAACACATAACACATCTTGTTTTGCTTTTGCATCACTGCTGCATAATGATGTATGTTCACACCAGCTAGGCTACACCAAAGGCAGGATCCCACTGTGCTCCAGATTAACAAAAACACACACACAAAAACACCTAAACCCACTTAGGCTCTGCTCTATGTGCTCCAGCGGCAAAGGCGACACCTGCTTATTGAGAACAATCGTCTAACTGTAGGGTACATTTTTATGGAAATGCTCCCGCTCCCCTCGAGAGAGCGTTGCTTAGGGATTACATACACATGCTGGAGAAGCAGCGTGGCTCACAAGGCTCCCCGCACTGAGAGCAATGGTATTTAACACACAGTGAACGAACAGGAGGATGACGAAACAGAGCCTCCATTTTGGCTCCGAGCAACACAGCAGCACTCAGGGGTGGAGATCACACATGGATGGAGGGATGGAGGGCTGGACCGACTGACCGACTGACTGACTGACTGACTGACTGATTGACTGAGCTCTGTCGACGCACACACAGCAGCCTGCAGTATATGATATGGATGAGGCCCCGGTCTGCTCTAATAAGCACAGGGAACAGGCTGTAAGTGAGTAAGAGCAGAAAGGGTGGGAAAGGGGAGGGTGGTATGTAAATCTGTGAAATCAGCGATAATTACAGTGAGTGCACAAAAAGCCACATCACAGTTGGCAGAGATGGTGCTAATCATCCTGACACAGTGTGCACCCAGACACCGAGCACGTGTGGATCTGTTTGTGTGTCTGAGGATGAAAACGCAGACAGAGGACCAAAACAGTGCACACTTGTCTTATACTGCAAAATATGTTTGGAGCTGGAGTTCCTCTTGGCAAAAACAAAACTAACCTTTGGCTGCAGAATACTGTGGATGACTTAAACCAACTTCTGTCTGCACAAAATAAATGATGCTCTAGCTAGGTAGGTCTTATTTTCAGAGAATAAACTGATGCCTGTAGAGATGTGCATTTGCAACATGGGAACCGGAGATGACATTAATGTCATTTTTCATTTTAGCAATGTGAAAATATTGGTGTTCGGGCAATTAATTTTGAAAAGTCATTTTAAAATGCATTGCATTAAGAAAATTACAGTATCATCTGTGTAAGATTTAATTTTCAAAAGATCATAAAATGAAAATATTCATTTATTTGAAACAATATAAAAACCTGTGCCTTTCTGCAGCATCATGGGTTTCCATTGTAAACTCCCATTTTAATGTTTTAAACTCTTCCTTTTATGAGAAAACCCACTGAATTGAAGTTATTGTACGTATGTCTGTTTTCTGGTTAAGGTTTTATCATTATTATTTGAGATAACACAATAAAATCTGTGCGTCTTGGACAAGTGAAATGTGGTTCCTGCCAACAGACCACACCGAGGTTGGACCTTTCTCTAACAGATAAGGAGACCTTCGATTACATTTCAGTAAAATTAAACAGTATAGTCCTTCATTTCTCTCGAATTTGCCCTGGTCTCTGCACATCCTCCTCCATCCCGACAGACACGAAGCAGGGGGTTTAGCACCACTGACACCGGGTACAGCTGATCTTACCTGAATGACCCGCATGTTTAGTCCCGTTTCCTGGGCCAGCTGTTCTCGGATGTGCCGGGTCGGTTTCGGCGTGGCGACAAACGCGGCCTTTAACGTTTCCAGCTGCTTGGCCTTGATGGTGGTCCGGGGCCCCCGCCTTTTGGCCCCCGAGTTCTGCTCCTCATTCTCTATATTGTTCATTTCCTTATCTGAGGACGTTGAATTGTCCGTCTCTTTTACGTCGTCCTGTGTTGGGTCCTGCAGATCCGGCGATAAACTCCGATCTGTACACGACGACACTGGGGACCAGGAAGGAAAAACAAACATGAGCAAGGTCACGATCCGAAATGTCAGAGAGGGATGGCGGGGTGGGGGTGGGCTTCTGCTTTAATTAGGCCTTTAGGTGCACAGAGGCGATACAGACTGGAAAATATGGATCCAACATATGTGCTAAATGTGTCTCCTAAAATCACTCGGAGGAGATTTTGGTACGCGCAGATGATTTTCTGCCTCCTTTCAGATTAGTTTCATACCTGTATTGCATTGTGTGTTTTTGCACACTTGCTAATTAAATGATACCCGAAATAGCTAGGAAAAAAATACACAAATTAAACCTCACCCTCACCTGCAACAGAAAGTAACTGCATGCAAACGACCACATTTCTACAGAACCTAAGGACAAAATGTAGCTGTATAAACCCAGGCAGCGTGACGGGGGCTGCTGCCCTCATGAGCTTCCTATAGGCAGGAATAGACAGCGGGCAGAGGAGCAGCGCATACTGGTCCCTACTGGACCCCGGCCTACAACAACAGAAAGCCATTGTCCTGTGGAGGTAAATATTGGAAGCATTCATCTGACAAGCTTGTTGTGAGATGCTCCTCACGGAGCGCTGGAAATCTTCTACAAAAACAAAACCAGAACATTTAACGCCTCCAAAGCCGCTTCCTTTGTCCCAGGAAACTGTCATTTAATGAATGCGTTTTCATAAAATGCATCCACACTGGTTATTCATGCTAAAACGTGGTCACAAAGATGAGATTTGTTTTGCGTTTTCAAATCGAACAGGAGACGAAAACAAACACACGCATCGCGGCTTGTTAACGCGTTGATTACCTGAGTTCAAGTTGACTTCCTTAATGGTCCCGGAGCTCAGATAATCTTCTTTGCACACAAACTTGTTCTCGTCTATCACATAGAGTTCCTCTCCCGTGGACAGCTGCTTGTTGCACACCATGCAGGTGAAGCAGTTCAGATGAAACACCTTGCTTCGGGCTTTGCGCACCAAGTCGTTTGGCGAGATTCCCTGCAGACAGCCCGCGCATTTTGTGCCAAACCGCCTGGATGGAAAGGGAAAATGTTTGTAAAGTTTATGTTTATGGGGGTTTTGTTTGTTTGTTTGTGCCCACACGTTGATGATAGTAACCTACAAACAGCTTGTTAGAAATGACTGAAAACATATGATTTTAAAATTGGTCAACTCACAGTTAAAATTTTAATTTTATTATTAGTGAAAATAAAAGCCATTATTTATATAACAGTTTGGTAGTAAATAAATCGAGCACTGAAGCATCTAATAGGACCAATATTAACAAGAAATTAAATTTTAATAATGCTTAAAAAAATTCTAATTTCCAAACAAAAAGGCAACAAAATAATAATAACAAATTTTGTTCTTGGTTACAGATCATTCATTTATGATAGCTCACTAAACAGAGTAATTGTTTTAGCAGTTCTGATGGAGCTGCTCTGACAATAACCCCACGCAAAACGTATTAGTGACAATCACCACATTGTAGCCGAGGATATCTGACGGGATTAAGCAGAGTAGCAGCATTTTAGCGTGAAAATCTTCTCTTAATCCATATTCACCCGCTTAAATATTGGGTGCGAAGACTCATCAATTTCATACACAAATAGCACAAATAAGAGAGTCCCCCTCCTGATTGACTGGATGAAGGAGAGGGACTGAGTGAGTGCGGGAGGAGGCGGTTTTGCCATTTTACTATAAAAGAAGTGAAGGAAAACGGTTCGGTGTTTCCAGTTATTTACCACCTGCACCGAGGAGCTGCAGCAGAGGCTGCAGGCGCACACCGGGCCCACTGTGCCCGCGCTCCCAGTCGGCCTGTCGGGGGTGCTTAAGCCTTTGGGTGAAAGCATTCTTTCTGTGGAGCATTGTTTTAGCACTAATGTAACCTTGTCTCTCCATTTGCAATGGTATCGCTTCACTGTCCCCTTTTCACATGCATGGCCAAGCCTCCCCCAGCGAAGAGGCACAACTGTACTTACACAACAAATGGACACATTAGGGTGATTACTGTTTCGCCTGGCTAATGGCTGGCCATTTAAAAATCCACTGCTTGATGGGACCTGCGCTAATATGATGGCCAAGGCCGTGCGAGGCCAATAATAGCCCGTCCCAACAAAGGCGTATGTGTCTTTGGACAATTTGGGGGAAAATAACTGACACATACAAATGAAAACGATGCTAAGAGAGAGTGCGACGGGACAAACAAGGGCTTCACTTATCACTCAATTACCTGAAACAGTTTTTATGTATTGTGAAGCGGTTAATGGCCCAATGGCTCTCTGACCAAATGTTGTCTGGATCTGGAAAATAGATTTGGAAAAAAAATGCCAAGCACAAAATACCCGTGGCTCCACTATGAGATCAAATTTAAATGTCCTCTTTCTTATTGTAGAGGCCCCATTGAAAGGCCACACGTATGTGATGTGACCAACATTTCACTACAAGGATTAATTACACCGTCAATTTTAAATGAAAGGAATTATTAGTTATACTTTTATACTTGAACAGTCGCTTTATTTTTTCCGCATGTACATTAATAACAGTGACCAAAACCATTTTAAGCTAGAACTTAGTATTTTGACCCCTGTGCACGAAGGTTACAAAGGTTTACGCCGGATTTTGTTTAGCCTTTTTATGTTATGATTTTATTTTTAAACCTATTTTGCCTCCAGAGAAACATCGAGCTCATCGCCCTAACTGTGGCGCTGGGGCGCATTTTGTTGGGAAACTGTTCTGATGAAGTCTGAATGCAGACACCCCGTTACCTGAAAAAGTCCATTTTACAATAGAGCTTTCCGTCCCTGGAGAAGCACTTCTCGGTGAGGTTGCAGTTGCAGTCACAGCACTGGACGCACTTGGCGTGCCAGGCTCTGTCCAGCACGTTGAGGAGGAACCGGTCCAGGATGGGCCGTTCGCACCCGGCACAGTGGACCATCATGTCTCCGGCCTGCAGGACGCCGAGTGCCGACCTTCCCACACGGACTGCGCTGCTCGGACTGGGGCAACCCGGGTCTACGCGGAACAACGTCTTGGCTCCGGGAGGTGTGCTGTCAGGCGAAAACTGGGGGAACCTCCCGTTGAAAGGCAGCGGAGTGACAATCCTCGAGAACTGTTGTAGTCCGGGTCCTGTTTGGTTGCTCTCCTGGCACTTTTCACAATCCACAATCCCGCGGAGCGGAGGAGGGATTTCAGCCACGCCAGCTGATGAACTGCGTAATGGACAAACCAGACATGTTTTCTCACGAACACACTGTTAAAACATCATTATTCAAATGTGTTTATTTCTATTATTTTATCCGTCGCTCATGCTTTGTTTCGGGTCCACTCATTTCCTCCGGGCTCACCTCACGCCGCCACTTTCGCATTACTGTGCCTGGGTTATCAAGAGGTTTTGCCAGCGCGACGCGCATCCTGCGCTCAGATTGGATGACGCCCTTGTTAATTCCCGTGGCAGGAGGACCAATCAGAGCGCAGTTGTTATGGTTACACGTCCATAGCTGTAGCCTCCGAGCGGACCTGAATCACACGCCGTGCAGAAACACCAGGGCCATGAATGCAGGGTGTTTCTAGAGGTGCTTTTAGAGGCCAGCGTCCATGTGGAAGGTCTCACGGATGGTTGTGGGGACATCACTGGCTGTACAGGCGGCTGCAGAAGGTGGAACCCAAAAGCCTGTCCGCAACATTTTATTTTCTTGGACCTTACATTTAAAAGTCCAAAAATAAACGATGGTTGTGATTTACCTGCACATCAGGCGAGGCGTGCGTTTTTACATGACACGGCGCTGCCACTGAAATGAATGTGAATAGATGCAACAGGAGTGGGAGTAGCTGAACAAGAGCTAATGTTACACAACCTTACAATGGCCTTGTGACAAAACGCTCCTGCATTACACCGTGGCTGTGCGGGGGGAAAGGGGGGGGGGGGGGGGTCTCTTTCTCATGCAGAAAGCTATTTACAGGGAAATGCGATGGATTAGCTGAAGCTCATCAATAGGGAGCGCCTGCTCACCCGGTGCTTTACAGACTGGCCACCAATCGAAGGGAATTTCAATATTTACCTACATCCTCGTTTTGTTAGTTGCAGTTAAGCAAACACGCAATTCGCTAATTCATGTTAGTGGATGAGTGAGACTTGTTTAAGTATTTTCCTTCCACGCTAATGATGATTCATTTGAATGACTTTAGGTGTGAATTTTGACTCACGGGCCATTGAATACAGATAAACAACAAGGTGGTTCGTTTTAACATCTATCCATGAGTCAATTTAACGATCATATTACAATTACATTAACTGGGCAGATAGTTTTGTTCTGACCTATTGTACATATGTTATTTGTCTGTCACACACACACTCCTGCAAACAGAAGTATATAAAATGTATTCACACACTGTTGGAGTGAGATGAAATACACAAGGATTAAAGGCACCCAACACCACAAAGTCACATCACAAAATGCCAAAACAGTCAAAAGTGCATTCATCAGTCTACATGAATTAAATCGATCGTTTCATGTATTTGTTTTATACAGTGTGGCTCCGATGGCATTAGTACCCCTGCAGAGGCAGATCATGAGGAATTGTTTAGTGTTAGGCTGTACCGGAGATCTTTGAGTTCTGAAAATCATTTTCGAGCTGAGGTTAACAATTGTTTAGGTCCTTTTGATGAAGGAAAGCAAAGCAACAAATTACTGAAAAAGTCTAGTTTGTGTTGGCAGGACAGATGCTGCTGAGTCATTTTTGCAAACACATCTGTATTTCCACAGGGAGAAGTTTAGCTGCTCAGTCTCAAAGCACCAAAGTCAAAGTGTCCTTGTCTTGCTCAAGGACACGTTGCCATGTGGACAGGAGAAACCAGGCATCAAACCATAACCTTACAGTTCACCCACACGAACACTTGTACCTTCTGTGGCCTGCTGGATATTTGTTTTCTTTACATGATATCTCATGTTTGAAATCTTCTGTAGAACCATTACAAGCTTCCGCTTCCCAGCTGCTGCACAAAGTGTAATTAGTGTTTTTCCTATCAAAATTATGCCCCAGATACCAAGTGTGGATTTATGCTCCAGGTAGCGGTAGTTTAACCTGGGTTTTCAGGCCTTTGTAGAGACAAGGCTGAATGAGTTTGCCCAATTATCCAAGCTCCTAGCACAGTGCCCTTTAGCCTGAAAATGAGGGATGGACAAAAACCAGAGGGGGATTCAGGAGGGGCAGATTAAAAGCCCATGGTGGGAAAAAGAGCATGTGAGGCAAATGCATCCAGTCACCTCCTTGTTTGAATGTATCTGCGTTGTATTGTGTGGAGGAATAAAAAGCTGTTTGCCCTTGCTTTGCTCTGCTTCCTGTGCACACCAAAAGAGCGAGACACTCACCTGTGGAGAAGAGCGACGGAGCTGTCCGTGGTACCAAAGGCAGGCGGCACCAAGGACAGCAGCAGGCTTTTGTGTTTTCACTGCATGAGCACAGACTGTAAACAGTAGCTGTAGATACAATGTACATATTAAATGGTTCCTGACCCCTGTAAATTGAAAACTGGCTAAACTGCAGCCTAAGGTCAGTGGTTTGGACCCCACTTTTTTCATCTATATTTGGTTGTTTTGCATCTTTGTGTTCATTTTGAATCTGTTTTTTTTTTTTGCTGTTGTTTATTTGTTTTTTTTTGTAGCCACTTGCTTTGTGATTCCTATTAGTCATTTTTCTATTTTTAGCTATTTTTGTTTCTCCTTTTTAGTCACTTTGTAGCTATTTGTGGTTATTTTTGTCTATGCTGTATTTGTTTTTGTTTATGAGGTTCTCTTGCATGTCCTTGTGCTCATTTTGCATCCCTTTGTGGCCATTTTGCATCTATTTCTTCATCTATCTATTGCTGGCTGACCTTTCAACAAGAAATATTAACAGGGCTTGTGTCTCTGCACTAGTTCATTCATGATTTCATGCTGGTATAGGAACAAAATCAGTGTATTGTTTCTACATAACTTTGTTAGTCCGTTTTCCTTCAAGGACTTTTTACTTTCTACTTCACTTCGACGAATCCTATGATGTTTTTCATGTTCTAAAGATTTGCGTCAGTCTGCAGAAGTAAACCACACTAATGAAAACTTAAAGGGATAGCCAGGTTAAGTTCAGCCTTTTTAAATTCTTTGAAAAGAAAAACGCTCAGAACCTTTTGTTTTAGCTCGTAACATTTAGAATGTAATAATTCGTTCATGTTAATGTCACTGTATCATGAAGGAAACACCGCCATGTCACTTAATGGATAAATAAATTTGTCCTCTTTAGAAGCAAACTAAAAGTCACTTAATCAGGAAAAAAGGTGTCACTGAAAGTCCACAGAGGTCCAAAGTAAAGCTCATTTACTTAAACCCTGGAATTTCCACACAAGCACAAATCTTTTCGGAGAAGCCTTCACACAGGTCTGCAGCGCTGAAGTGGCAGATTGTTGCCATGGAAGAAAGATGAGAAAACCTTCAAACCAAGTAAAAGTTATGGAGGATTCCTATTGCAAGAATAATTTTTATGAACCATTTTATAAATTAATGCAAACATTATTAATTATTTACTTTGAAGCACGGGAGTTTTGTTAGTACACTGCTGTTTACGCGTGCATACAGACAACACATTTTTCAAGGACCAACATTTGAAGTGGTTTGAGCATCAGTCGCCTTTCTTTGCTGAGGGGCCTTCATGGTCTGCAGCTGCTCATCTCAACCTTTTTTAGTCTGTAATGCACGTAGAGTAAAGGGAGTAATTCAAACACAAGCAACGTCCATAAGCCCTGAATTCTCTGTATCACTTCAGTCTGAGCTCCTACACAATATATTGCACAAACCCAGGATGACAAAAAAAAAAAAGTTAATGTTTTCAACTGATTTAAAAAAATGTAGGTGCTGCAGTAGGAGTGTGGAGATTTGTGGTGTGCGTTGAGATTTGAAAGGGAAAAAAATATGGGAGGGATGGAAATAGAAATATAAAAGATGCACAGATAAATGGGAGACACAGAGAAAAAGAAAATCGACACCCCCACCCTCTCTGCTCCACTCCCCTCCGCTCTGCACCGTGACAGCCCGGACACCTGAGCAGACTGGTTCTTCCCCTCTCCCCCTCCCTCCCCCGCAGCTGCCATTCCATGCATGCAGTGTCACCCCAACCCCAAAGACGCGTGCACACACGTACGCACTCGCACACGAATATGTTCAAGACCACCTCCAGGGCCCCTCTTTGGCAGGGCCACTCCCAGGAGAGAGGTTAGTATGATGGATGTCTGATTGGTAGCCCTCCCTCAGGGCCTCCCTCTCGTCACCTCTCTGCGCTCTGAATTAAAAGGCCGTTTGTCTCCTCTGAGTCCTCAGCTGTAGAGCGCCGGCCTGCAATTTCACAGCACTCAGAGAGAGAGGGAGACCATTACAGAGGAGGTTGTCAGGGGAGCCATCAGAGCCCGGACACGCCTGAGGGACTATCTCTTTCCCCTCTATCTTGCCCAGCTCCCGTCCCCACCTGCTCAGCACCACCAACACCTCTATCCCACTGGAAGCAGCCAGCCTGCACTCACAAATATATAAATATTCAGGGCTTCGCTTACCTACAAGCACGTCTGCACCTACGGACACACACATATACACAATCTTTGGGACTTTGTTGTTTGTAAATCCACCAGTCTCTTCAACAAATTAACACATCTAATTATAGAAAGTTAGGACAAGACCACAGAGAAAGAAGAAATAACACATTCTGCCCCTTGGAACTTGACTTCATAAGCAATTAAACACACTCTTATAAAATGAAATACACTCTTGGACAGTGTGTCCTGGAAGGCGCTGTCGGTGTTGCACTCACTTGTAACATGAAAAGTTAATGAGAGAGTTTGTTTCTACTGAAGATGTAAATCTCTAACAACGTGTTAAAAATACAAAGGGATGACAAATGAAAGTCAAACCCTGAATAAATGAGTGGTCAGGATGACAGTGGCCCCCTGTCCACAGGACACCAGGGGTCACTGACTGGTCTGATGGAGATGTGAACCAGACACTGTGGCCTTCCCAGTCACCAGGTCTCAGCCCAGTTGAACAGCCATGGGAGATGTTGGAGGGACGTGTTGGAGCGACGTGTTGGACGACGTCTCCACCACCATCATCAACACAGCACATGAGGGAACATCTGCTGGAAGAACAGTGCTCATCCCTCCAGGAGAGCTCAGAGACTTGAAGAGTCAGTGCCAAGCTGGAGCTGTTCTGGTGGCACATGATGACCCAGCACCTCACTGGGACTCTGTGTCGGGTCGTCCTTTCATTTGTCACCTGTCTGTATGGTCTAAATTTCCAAAATAAAGCTCTGTAATTCTTTTTAAACAGCTGAGCAGTGTAGCTTTAGCAAACCTTACTCAAACAGGAGAAAACAAGGACTAATTTCTGCTTTAGA